TGCAATATTTGGACAACACGTGGGAGGTTTTACTATCACAGCAAACACGTCCTGTCCATGATGGGACTATTTCAGCATTGTCAATTATGAACTCTTGGTGTGTTCTTATTTGGTGAAACTCGTGATGCAATTCTGCTGTTGGTTCGAAGTCACCACTATCTGGACTCATATGTATGATGCTGTTTGATTGCTGAAGTTCGCTATTGCTCATCTTCCTTGCATAAGGTTATATGTGCGCACTAACAAGGATTTACATGACAACATGGACTACTGATATCGAGTGCAGCGACGGATGAAGGGGAGATCTGCAAGGGAGAGGGGTTGAGAGGACGAAGTATTTGGACCAATAGGGTATAAATATATGATGATAATGGCTGTGAAGATTACCTAAGCAGTGAGGTAGAACGGTAATCTAGAACGGTAATCGCGACTGGTTTAGTCGAGTGAGAGAGAACCCTCGCTTAAGAGAGCACTATAGCCTTGACGGAACGGCAAGGAGCGAGAGGCACGGGCCAAAGAACAGCGACGTGCCAGCTGGAGCAAGAGGGGAGTGTGGAGCAGGAGAAGAGAATCAAGCAGGAGGCAAGCAAGGGAAGGGGTAAGGAAAGGGAGGGGCAAGATTGGTCCCTCACTTTCCCTCTCTCACCCTTTCTCCTAACCCTCATCATCTCTTCTCTCTCTTCTCTCTCTCTTCTCTCTTTCCCTCCTCCTTTCAACCGCCTCTGTGGGCTAAGTACGTGCCGTATTTGATCTGTGCGCACTATGCATGAGCTCTGTTGATTGGTCATAAATCATGCGCTCTCCCGCTGTATCTGAGGGTTGACCTTGAACTGAACACTGGAGAACATTGCACCTGATGACTGGCTATGAGCCCTGCACTCAAGTGCTGTATTTGAGAGTTGGATTCTGAGATGAGCGTCAGCAAGCAATCAAATTGAGTCGGCTGTGCCGAGAGGCACTTGAACTGAGCATGCCGCTTTATAGTCTGCAGATCGACTGTGCCGAGAGGCACTTGAAATGAGCATGCCGATTTATAGTCCGCTGGTCGACTGTGCCAAGAGGCACTTGAACTGAGCATGCCGATTTATAGTTTGCTGATCGACTGTGCCAAGAGGCACTTGAACTGATCATGCCGCTTTATAGTCTGCTGATCGGTTGTGCCGAGAGGCACTTAAACTGAGCATGCCGATTTATAGTCTGCTGATTGGCTGTGCCGAGAGGCACTTGAACTGAGTATGTCGCTTTATAGTCCGTTGATTGATTATGCCAAATTATAGTCCGCTGATTGACTGTGCCAAGAGGCACTCGAACTGAATATGTCAATTGTGGGCACCCAGTGCTTCTGCGAGTGTGCGCATTCGGATGCGACACTGCGCAAATAATGACTTTTAAGTGCGGTTTTGAATAATAGATCCGTAGAGTTCTGCCAAAGTGACCCTGAGGGACTGCAACTGTGCGCACTTAAATTGCGACATTGCGCGTCCGACCAACAAATTGCGCCTGAACGATCTCAAGGAAATGCGACTGTGCGCAGTTCACTTCAAGTGTGACGCTGCGCTTTCTGAATAGGGATGGTGATTTTGAGACTGTACTTGCCGCTTTTTGGATTGTGCTTGCTCAGCCACTTCGAGTAACAAGTCGATTTTGAGCACAATCTCACCGAGTACCAAGCTGATTTTGAGACCACTTGTGCAGTCATTTTGTTTGCGAAGTCACACCAGGTCGATTGCGCAGTTACACTGAGCATTTCGTTGAGGGCCACGTCCGAGTTGGCAACTGCGCATATCGCACTTGAGGGCCATATCAGGGCCATATCTGAACAGTGCGCCGTTCGCACCATGCTGTGCGCTGTTCACACCATACTTGAGGGCCATATCAAGGCCATATCTGAACAGTGCGCCGTTCGCACCATGCTTGAGGGCCACATCTGAGTATTTCGCAGCTGGTCACTGTGAGCGGTGTGTGTCGTACTCAAGGGCCATATTTGAGTATTTTGCAATAGTGCGCAGAGAGCGCACCGTACCTAAGAACCATATCTGAGTATTTCCGCAACTGTGCAGAGAACGCACCATACCATTTTTTGATTAATGTGCTATTCGCAAGGGCCATTTCTTAGCATTGTGTTATTCATCAGGGCCATTTCTGAGCATTGTGCTATTCGTCAAGGCCATTTCTAAGCATTGTGCTATTCGTCAGGGTCATTCGTCAGGGCCACTTCTGAGCATTGTGCTACTCGTCAGGGCCATTTCTGAGCATTGTGCTATTCGCAGGACCATTTCTGAGCATTGTGCTATTTATCAGGGCTATTTCTGAGCATTGTGCTATTCGCCAGGGCCATTTCTGAGCATTGTGCTATTCGCCAGCGCTGTTCATTTCTGAACAGTGCTATTCGCAAAAAGCCATTTCTGAACAGTGCTATTCGGTGGTATTTGCAAGAGCCATTTTTTTTGGACAGTGCTATTCGCAAGTGCTATTTCTGAACAATGCCATTTTCGCAAGAGCCATTTCTGAATAGTGCTATTTCTGAACAGTGCCATCATCGCAAGAGCCTTTTCTGAGCATTGGGCCATTAGCAAGGGACATTTCATAATATTTTGCTATTCTCAACTGTGCGCAGTCGCGTACCGTGCCTGAGAAACATCTCTGCTGTTCGCGGCTATGTGTGTGTTGTTGTGCACCGTGACTGAAGAGCACTGGTGTCCATTTCGACTGGGTATTTAGTCTGCACATACTCTGTTGACCAGCTGTCATTTGATGACGATAGTAGTCTGGCCCTAAGAAAAAGCCAAGTTTGGCGAGCAGTACCCTGTCGCAAACAATTGTATATTAGTCCCAACCAAAGATTGAATTTTGATTATAATTTTCAGTGCGCGCCCGCGCGCGCCCAGACCTATTATTGTTTTTAAGTACGCGCTCGCGCGCGCCCAGATCAGATAATTATTTTCAGTGCGCGCCCGCACGCGCCCAGACCAGACCATGCGCGCCCAAGCTTGAGAGTGCGCACCCGTGCGCGCCCAAGCTTGGCATTGCAGTTAGAGTGCGCGCCCATGCGCACCAAAGCTTGAGAGTGCGTGCCCATGCGCACCAAAGCTTGAGAGTGCGTGCCCATGCTTGGCATTGCAGTTAGAGTGCGCGCCCATGCGCGCCCAAGCTTGAGAGTGCGCACCCATGCGAGCCCAAGCTCGATATTGTTGTTAGAGTGCGCGCCCATGCACGCCCAAGCTTGGCATTGCAATTAGAGTGCGCGCCCATGTGCGCCCAAGCTTGAGAGCGCGCGCCCATGCGCGCCCAAGCTTGAGAGCGCACCCATGCACGCCCAAGCTCGATATTGCTGGTAGGGTGCGCGCCCATGCGCGCCCAAGCTTGAGAGTGCACGCCCATGCTCGCCCACACTTGGCATTGCAGTTAGAGTGCGCGCCCATGCGCGCTCATGCGCGCCCAAGCTTGGCATTGCAGTTAGAGTGCATGCCCATGCGCGCCCAAGCTTGAGAGTGGCGCCCATGCGCGCCCAAGCTTGGCATTGCAGTTAGAGTGCGTGCCCATGTGCCCCCAGGCTGGATATAGTTATTTGAGTG